AGACTAAGTTTTTCAAACTATTAACATATGCTTGAAGTTTTTCAGATTTTAAATTTCGTTTGCCAAATCGATTTGTTGCCATTGTCAGCTTAAAAACCATTTTACTAATAAACTACAAAACTGAAAAATCGTACTTATTTTTAACCAGACGACAAATTTTATTAATAACTTTTATTAGTTCGCAACGCTTAACTACTCCCTCTAGCGTATAGGTTATTTTCAGGCTTTTATTGAAGTTATACTTCTTATGCAACTTCCAACAAGGTTGCGTTAATAGTTTAACGATACATTTTTATTGGCCGGGAAATCACGTGGTAGGATTCAGTTTTCCCTCATTCATTTCCATATTGTTTTGGTTCTCACTAGCATAAAAATAATAAAAGTCATAAAAGTATTGTTTTTCTATAAATATTTTTTTAGTTTGTTTTGATACACATATAATTTAATAGGGTAGTATTTTTTATTTTCAAATTTAGTGGATAACAATTGTAAAAAATGAGTGAAAACAATCCCACGGACAATGCGACGGATTTAAGGTTATGTCAAGGTACGTCTCTTGTGAATATCAATTGATTGTTAGGTTCTGAAATTACATTATGACGCATTCACATACATTATTAGGGTAGACTATACTTGAGGGTGCCCCTTGATTCTCGCCAAGTTGTGATTGCGGTTGATCGCCAAGTTGGGCGATGTTGAAACCCAATCGTGATTCTCATTGGTTTAGATTTTAACGTTATTTTTAAATGTTCAACGGTACATGTAATTTCAGAGGTCCGTTAGTTCTACGTTGGATACCGGCTGGTAAGATTACTTTTGAATCTGGTCTATAAGATGGAAGCTATGTGGGCAGTCATAAAAAAGGATTTAAGAAAAAAATGTGACCGCTAGTGTTTTCGATTCGTATTTCGTCTAATTTATTTGTCGATGGAGGTGCTCAGATTCTATTCATGATAAATTTAGACAGTATCTAACTGTTATTAGATAATTCTGTGCACCTAAATCTGAGAATATTCAAGCTTAATAAAGAAGTGAGTTGTTTTTTTCCTTTTCCTTCGGCTCCTACTCCATTAATTTTTGCTTTGATTCAAAATCTCTTTTATTGGGTTTATTAATTTTGCTTATATTGAGTTCATTGCAAGTTTTGCCGATGTTTTGTTGAAATTTTCCAATGTTTTATTGAAATATCATTATGTTTTGGCCGCCATTCCTGTTACCACGATGACCTGCTCAAACAGGAATAACGCCAAACATAAGTCGCCAATTTCACCAAGGGGCACCATCAAGTATATTTTCCCCCATTATTAATACAAATACATTTTCTAGGGCGAGACGATGAGGCAACCACAAGCACTTCCACTGGTCCAAGAGGTCCACGAGGGAAAAATGAACAATATCACCGTGATTACAGAGCACGGAAGCGAGTGGAACAGGAAAAAGTGTCGTTGAATAGAACTAGTGATCCTTCTACGACTGCTGATTCTCCTACAATTAACGATTAACGTCGCAGGTTGCGAAGTTTAACTTCTTCCGCGCGGAGGGACTCCATGCACCATTTTTTTAATTTTTTTTAAAGTTTTCATTTAGTTTTAAGTTTTATCAGAATCATTAGCAGAGTACGACGCCATATTTTAGAAGCAAATAAAAAGCAAAATTACAGATGTATGTAATACGGTAAAATAATTTTTTTTTGTTTTCAATTCATTACAAATTGGAGTGAAATCAACATTGCTTATCTCATTCCAATGAATAAATGTGATTTCAGAACGTAAAGGACGGTAACAGTTATAGAATATTCTTCTCTATAGAATAGTATATATTTCTGTATCTATATAATTCGAAAAACAACAGCAAAGAATCATCCGAATTTCTTGAAATAGTATCATTTGTGTGGATAATTAATACATTTTTATCGTTTTCTTGGAAAGTATTTTTTCATTTTGAATGATAAATTTCAACTACACAACAACGCCTCCTATAGTACGTTGCGATCGCGAATATCATGATTTATTTACTAGATGCAATTTTAAAGACGCCTAGGCATAATTTGTGTAAAATAAGGACTAATACTAGTATTATTTTCAACAATATAGATATAGAAAACCTTAGTTTGACATTGTAATAAAAAATTCGATCATTTTATACCTTTAATAAGATATTTTTAATAAAATATAATGTCAACAACTTAAGGCAAATTAGGTCTTTAAACCTCAGTACAAGTTATTAAAAAAACTGCTAATACTTTTTTTTGAAAATTAATGCTAATTTTTTTAAAATTTTTATCTTAACTGGGTATAATATGAAAAAAACACAACTACTTCGATTTAGTAGAAACAACATATGACGCAATGCTAAACGAATGGAATTTAGTTGTTGTTTATTTAGTTATTGTTATTAGTAGTTGTTGTTATTTGTTTTAGTTGTTGTTGTTTATTTAGTTGAGTTTAGTTTCAATAACTTTTCTTTATAATGCAATAAAATCTGGCGAGCAGCTATTTAAACGATCGAACACTTCGTTTGTTTATTTGTGGCTTGAAGTTAGGCTCGCAGAAAATACCGTTCATGGGTTAAATTTAGTAGGAACAACACAACCTGTGACGTAGGCTATATTATACCCAACTGCAATGTAATATGACATAAACCACCTATCTTAACTTTTGCACGATTAAATTTGACTTCCTTTTTTTCAATTTTATATAGAAAGGGAATGGAAATGTCAGAAAAAAATTTACGCAAACGATAATAAAATGCTTACTTGTAGTGCGATATCGTTTTGAAAATGTTCTCCAAACTTAATTATAACAAAATAAACCAGTTAAAATTTTCTTTTGTTATTTATTGTTTATTTGAATTAAATATTGCTTATTGGATTACTATTAATTGTCTATTGAAATTGCATATTATCTGTTGGAATTACATTTTTTCGAAAATTAATGCTCATTTTTTTAAAAATTTTATTTTAACTGCCATGTAATATGACATAAACCACCAATCTTAACTTTTGCACCATTAAATTTGACTTATTTTTTTTTTCAAATTTATATAGAAAGCGGATGGAAATGTCAGAAGAAAATTCACGCAAACGATAATGAAACGCTTACTTATAGTATGATATCGTTTTGAAAATGTTCTTCAAGCTTAATTATAACAGAATAAACCTGTTAAAATTTTCTTTCGATATTTATTGTATGTTCAATTTAGGCTTATAAACCTTTGGCAAATAGAAGGACAGATAGCACAATACAGAGAATTACAGCAGGAAGATACATCCAGGATAACAGCGGGATTCGGAAAAGCTACCTCCACGCTTTGCACAGCGTTTGTGGGCGATACTGATCGGCCAATTTTTCTTTTAAAAATTTAAAATGGAATCACAATTTGAGTATACCAATTTTATACATAAACTAGACATATTCGGCGAACTAAACACTTGTTATGAAACATTTCGAATAAATAATTTTTGAGTTCTTATTTAAAACTAATTTATACAATAAATTTATTGATACCATGTTCCTCTCTCTCTCTCTCTCTATCTCTCTCTCTATATATATATGTATGTAATTTTGTAATATTTATGTTGCTCTAATCTTTCGTCATAAATTCAAATGTAAAACTAATATTTTGACTGTTCACTCACTGTCATAANTTTTGCCATTTTGGGTATAACTGTCGAACTCTGCATTTATGAATTATAGAACAAACTACGGATGAATGCATTTGTTTCCAGTTAAGTATGTTATAAATAACGCTGTTAAGGACTAACTAAAGGGATTCTATAATGTGTAGCAACAAATTCAATTTTAAAGAAAAGGATATTCATTCAGTTAATTGAAGTTTTTAAAAATGAATCCAAAAATATTTAGTTTCTTATAGAAATGTTGAAATTTCAAATAAATTTTGCAAATAAACTGAATAATAATACTGAATTACAGTATACTCTCGATATTTCAAAGTTAAGGGGCGTTAAAAAAAGATAGTTCGAGATAGCTAGTTTTCGAGATAACAAGGTCAGAACTAAAAAGTAGAAAAATATATTCTAAAATATGACTCAAAAAAGTAGAGTCATGAAACATACGAATAACTACTATTAAATATGAATTTAATGATAGTTGAATATAAGTCTAAATATAACAATAATCATTTTATTTTTAAAAGTAAACAAAAATAATTATGCATAAAAGAGAAAAGAATTGGTTTACAATAAACTGACTTTGTGATTTTTTCGAAAAAATTCGACATAACAAGGTTTTGAGAATAAACTCTACGACATAGGAATTCAAATTAACATTAAGCGGTCACCTTCAAATGAGTTGACCCAGGTTTGAATCCCAGCGATAGCTCACGATATCAATTCTACATCAGGATCACACCGACCACAGTACTGACGTAAGAAATCCCCGGTAGTGGTAGACGGATCATGGGTTAGAGTCCCCTTGCTGTCGGGCTAACCGTAAAAAAGTTTCCGCGGTTTTTATCTTCACGTAACGCAAATGCGGGTTAGTTCCATCACAAAGTTCTCCAAAAAGGCTAGTTTCTTCCGATGCTTAATCCAATAGCTCCTTTGTCTTCTGGGTTGAGCTCAAAATTACAAGACTACAGAGTTAAGCATTGGTGGTCGAAAACTCAAAATTGGATCAGATGTTCATTGCCTTTTTTATATATACACAAAAAAAAAGAACTTGAAGATCCGATCATCAAGCATTCTGAACGTATTTATATCTTTGTAATTACTACAGAGCTCAATAATTTCATTATTTCGCTCTGCAGAACTCAGAATGAAGTACATTATATAATTAGTTTGTACAGCATTTTTTTAAAAACTGCAGTTTTTGACTTATTTTTAAAATTATAAGCAGCATTTTTTATACTCTGTACATATTTATTATTTTTAATGGTGGAGGGTGGCAAAAATATTTTTACTTACACTTGAAAATTAGCTTGGAACGGCCTTACCCCGTGGTCTACAATTTCTATAGAAACAAATATGAAGACTGACTCACCTTAAGTAGCTCAGCAACATCACCAGGGGTAGTAAATCATATATTTTTTAAAAACCTTTTCACAACAGAAGTAGGACACTCACTTCGATTTCACTACTGCCGAGGACAGTTTTTGTGAACACTGAGGTTTATATGCAAACTCGGGGGCCGCACAAATTGCTGTTGTAATTAAAAAAAAATCAGGTGCGTACTTGAATGCAGCTATTTGACATTCTCGGCATTTAATTTTGTTTCTTTTTATGTCTAACATTGCCATTTTCAAATATATCAGGCTATCTGCAAAACTCCCAACACATTTCAGTCGATCGACACATAACTTATAATCCTATCAAAACCGTTTTTTTTTCTGCTTCGGCTAAATGAGATAAAAAAAACACCAATTTTTATAAATCTTGATAGTTTTATGGCAACCAATTCCTTTTTTTAAATTTCGACTTTAGCAAAAAAGAGCAAGTTTATGTTAAAAAAACAAAATTCTGGTGGGAAAAACAAATTGTCCTACTCCTCTTTAAGCATAAACGTGGATGAAGCGGGTTCGAATCCCGCTGTTACCTTAAATGTATCTTCTTGGCTGTCCTTCTCTGTATTGGGTTATCCGTTCTTCCATTTGACAAAGGTTTATAAGCCTAAATTGAGCACACAAGCTGCTTGCAAATGTACGTAATTCCGAGTCCCGCAGTGGACTGATCGTTAAG